CTCACTCCCCATTCACTGCACCTCCCCTGAACTCACTCCCCATTCACTGCACCTCCCCTAAACTCACTCCCCATTCACTGCACCTCCCCTGAACTCACTCCCCATTCACTGCACCTCCCCTGAACTCACTCCCCATTCACTGCACCTCTCCTGAACTCACTCCCCATTCACTGCACCTCTCCTGAACCCACTCCCCATTCACTGCACCTCCCCTGAACCCACTCTCCATTCACTGCACCTCCCCTGAACCCACTCCCCATTCACTGCACCTCTCCTGAACCCACTCCCCATTCACTGCACCTCCCCTGAACCCACTCCCCATTCACTGCACCTCCCCTGAACCCACTCCCCATTCACTGCATCTCCCCTGAACTCACTCCCCATTCACTGCATCTCTCCTGAACTCACTCCCCATTTACTGCACCTCTCCTGAACTCACTCCCCATTCACTGCACCTCTCCTAAACTCACTGCACCTCTCCTAAACTCACTCCCCATTCACTGCACCTCTCCTGAACTCACTCCACCTCCCCTGAACCCACTCCCCATTCACTCCACCTCCCCTGAACCCACTCCCCATTCACTGCATCTCTCCTAAACTCACTCCCCATTCACTGCACCTCCCCTGAACTCACTCCCCATTTACTGCACCTCTCCTGAACTCACTCCCCATTCACTGCACCTCTCCTGAACTCACTCACCTCTCCTGAACTCACTCCCATTCACTGCATCTCTCCCCTGAACTCACTCCCCATTCACTGCACCTCTCCTGAACTCACTCCCCATTCACTGCACCTCTCCTGAACTCACTGCACCTCTCCTGAACTCACTCCCCATTCACTGCACCTCTCCTGAACTCACTCCCCATTCACTGCACCTCTCCTGAACTCACTCCCCATTCACTCCACCTCTCCTGAACTCACTCTCCATTCACTCCACCTCTCCTGAACTCACTCCCCATTCACTCCACCTCTCCTGAACTCACTCCCCATTCACTGCATCTCTCCTGAACTCACTCCCCATTCACTCCACCTCCCCTGAACCCACTCCCCATTCACTCCACCTCTCCTGAACTCACTCCCCATTCACTGCATCTCCCCTGAACTCACTCCCCATTCACTCCACCTCTCCTGCCCTCCCCCAACTCCACCTTTCTGCTCCGACTGACAGGAAACAAGTTGCAGGTAATTGTTACTATTATTCTTAACTTATGTAAAACAGGAAAACAACAGCTCTGCTAAACCTGCTGGTGTCCCCCAATGTCCCCCTGGTTCTGGGATTTGTTCTGTCTGTCTGGTTTCCCCCGGGGGAGAGTTTGATTCCCCCTTCCCCCTCCTGTTTGTATTTTTAGTTTCTTACTCCCAACGTTTCATAGAAGTGAAACATTTTTACTGTTTGGGAAATAAAGCTACTTTACCCTTGTGCATTTATAAACAATACTCTAATTTATAAACAATAAACAATACTCTAATTTATAAACAATACACTAATTTATAAACAATTCTCTGTATTGTGTTGTTTTATAAGCCAAGTACTCTGCGTAGAAAAAAAAAAAAAAGTACTATTATTAATTATTAAATGTTTTTTGCAGTTTGAAAGTAAGGAAAAATGGAGCCTTCAAAGAATATTGTGAAAATTGCTATCCAGATGATGGGGGCTTATCCCCAACTTATTGAACTGAATCAGGTATTATCTTTCTATTGCAACACACAGCAACCGCATTCTCTGTCTATTGCGAAACACAGCAATCGCATTCTCGGTCTATTGCGACACACAGCA